ATTCAACAACATATCTTCTCCCTTCTAATGTACTAAAGTCCTGCCAGTTTATCTGCTTACCTTTTGAACAGGCTCCAGCTATGAACTCTCTTAGCCACTCGATCACTTCTAATCCTTCCAGCAATATTGTACCCTTTTTCGCTTCCCTTACCCTCAGGCTTACCTTCCCCTTGATTCTCATCTCTTCGAACATGAGATTTTTTGCTTCTATCCTCAAGGATCTTCTCCACTGACCTGCCTGCACGAACTCCATTGTTGCTCTTTTGAAACCCTCCCAAGATTCTCTCCCTCCCTCCTTCCCTCCCTCCCTCTCTCCCTCCCTTTGTAGGTCAATCATATGATATTCTGCAATATCTTTAGGTTTGGAGAGAGAACATTTTAAAGCCCCTAGTAGGAGGCTTTGCAACTATTGAAATGATATCACAAGAAAATTGGCACAAGAATGTTTCGTTCATGGTTCATTTTTTTGAACCACTATATGTGAGCATTGGTTGTATGATTCATGCGTACATGTACTTTCATTATCTACTCTTGATTGTACAGCATAATCAAATAGAGACATTATGGCTGGAGCCATATTGGTGTGTGGGACACACCATATAACTGCCATGCCATGCTTACATCAGAAAACCATGTTTTCTAGTTGAGAAAGCTATAGAAAGTTGAGTTAAAAAAAGCCATTTTGTTGGTTCTGGAACCATGGTTGCTTGTTCCAGAACCAGCAATAGCTTACAAATAAGGTACAGAACACTGGTTGTGTTTGTGAACCAGATGAAACATGAACACAGTTTCAATAGTAAAAACTAAAAAGTATGTGGTTATTATTAATTCATCTGGTTTTTCCAGAATTTTAAGTTAGTACCATTAAAACTCCGCTAGTGTGAGCCTGTCTTTGACTGCTGGCCCTGGCCCCAAGCCCAGATGGAGGAGGGTTGTGTTAGGTTGGCAGCCAGCATTAAAGCTTTTGCCAACCCCTTGTGGACATGGAGTAGCCAACCCCATACAGTTAGGACAAGGCTTAGTTGAGCTGAGTTGAGTTATAGTATACTGTATATGTAAACATTAGCATCAGTATCTTTTATGGGAAAAGTATTTCAAAATAAGCAAATTGATTTTGCTATGAAGAAAACTCTAAGCATTTCATTTTTTTTAACGATGAAAATTCTTTACAGTCTACCTTATTTAACTTTCCTGATTTAGATGCTACTTTTTATCTCAAGGCCTGAGCTAATGCTTTGTTTAGTTCTTTAAACTGGATTTCTACGCAGATAGCTACCTTCTAATTATATAATGCATTGCTTTCTTTATTTACAAAAAAATTCTAGTTTTGAAGTTTTCCTTGACTACAACTTATAAAATTTCCAGCCTCCCTCCACGATTGGCCAAAGGGATGGACTTTCCAGCATTCAACACCAATCCCAGTCGTAGTCCACAGAGAAACAATGATGGTGCTTTGAGTATTGCTCTTCCATCTCCCCAAAGTGCTTTCATGCCAAGAGTTTCAAATCAAGCAATCCAAGATAACCCAAAAAATGATGCCCGACCTTCTTATCGCCAAAGCCCTTTATCATATGAGTTCTCTTTTAACAAAGAAGGGTCATTGAAAGCTGCTAAGTCTGATAACGAGGACATGGGAGGCATCAAGGAAAAGGATTTGGGTAGTACACAACTTAATAACGACAGCAGCCAATTTCACTTCTCTATATACAAATGGGCAAGTAAAGGAGTACCATTAGTTACTCCACTTAGGGGACTAAATGGTTCAATGCCAAAAAGGAAGGGGAAAGGTGAAAGTAGTTCAAGCTCAAAAGAGAAAGGTGACAATGAAAGCAATTCAGGCTCAATCGAAAGGGGCAACAATGAGAGTAGCTCAAGCTTGGTTGACAGTGACAAAAGTGAGAGTATGATAAATGAATCATCTGCATCAATTTTGCAAGGTGTTGGATTTCTGCTTCCTGAGGAAAGAATGTCAACAGTGGCTAGCTCCTCTCAGATGGGACTTGAAGACCAAAAGAATGGTTCACTTGATGGTACACTTACCAAAGATCGAACAGATTCATTTAGAATTTCTGTTAAACTTGGATTAAAACCCCTTGATAGTCTTGAAAGTATTACCACAGAAATTCCTGGTAGTTTTGTTCATAATGCAAAAAAGGAAATAGAACCTGGTTCAGGTTTGTATGGTTCTCTGTCTGAAATTGGTCCATTTCAGAACACGGAGAAAGAGATAAATGGTTCTGCACATGAATCTTGCAAACCTGAGTTAGTACCATTATGTCCCCTGCTCTATGAAAATTCTTCTGGACAAGGTAATGCCTGTAACATTTAGTGAAATTATATTATTGCGAATGGTGTACTTGTAAAGTTCTTTTAGCACTTAATCTATTTTATTGTTTGTAGGAACGGTCAGTGAGATAGGAGCAGCAAAAGCCAACGTTACATCATCTGTAAATGTTGATGATGGGAAAATCCTAAAGAAACATGATAGCAAAAGAAACATCTTCAATATTGCCGCTAACTCTAGCTTGCAAGATTCATCTATAGATTCAGAAGAAAAACGTGGTGGAAAGAGTGTCAAGGGAAAAGTCAAAGAATTTGTGAAAATTTTCAGTCGTGAGGCTTCTTCAAAATCCACAACTGATATTGACATGCAAGGTCAGATCTCTAGATGGAAAGAAATCAATACATGTAAAGCAGAAGAAAAAGTAAGTAACCATGCAACCAAGACAGATGGGAAAGTGAACATAAGGAACAAGGAAAAACCATCAACAGAAACTTTTTTCATGGTATGTAACTCCAATTCCTATTTTGATCTACTAGAATTAATTATATTTACAGTCAAAAAACATTTTCTGTACTCTCATTTCTAATCAAATGAATGTGGAAAGTTATTGAATTCAAATATTTGTTCCAGGTGGATCAAGCTCTGAAACAGTCAGAGAATCCGGACATTGAAATAGACACTGACATTCATAAATTTCATCATACTTCCTCTGAAAGGAACAATAGCTCAGCATCATTATCAGGTCAATTTCATTTCTTTAGAATTTTAACATACAAGAAATTTTTGTTTTCAAGAATAGTTATTTTGTCTTTTAGCTGGATGTTAGTCTCAAAACTATCAAGTACCTATCAAAAAAAGATTGTAAACCTATTAAGAAGATGGTAAGCTTATGCTTAAGAAGGTGTACAAGGGCCATTACCCAATGTTGGTACTGGCCATTCAGGATATTGAGAGGGTTGGACTGGATACAGGCCTAACCTTTGGTATTTCTTTTTTGCACAAAGTTGCTGCTCTTTGACTTGAAACTCCATTCTCATGATTGTTAACCTTGGTATATTTTGTACACTTTTATAACCTACATTGAGGAATAGTGTCAAGGACTCAAAATTTTAAAGCTGTAAGCCTGTAATATTGGTTGATGTATTAGAGTCACATTACTGTCATAGTCCTTGAGTTTACCTATTCCAAAAGGAGGTTATGAAACTTTAAGTATTAATTTATTTGATTGATCATTAGGGCATAAACTGCTTAATTCATCTATATGTTTTCTCAGAATCTATACCTGCAGGTTTTGAGGCCGCACTTGCTCATATGGAGGAATCTCATTGTGAATATCTCCATGGAAACTGTCTGGTATGTGTATCTTCTATTCGAGAGTGATATATAGCTTTTGTCACTGGTTGCCATAGATTAATCTTTTTGTCTGTTAAAACCTGAAATTTCATAGCAATAATATGTTGTCAGATTTTATCTAAATATTAATAGGGGAAATCTTGACGTTTTATATTCCATTGCTGAAACACAGGGCAAGAACAATGCTAGTGACTTGCCTTCTGATGAATTTTCATCCACTGAATAGTTAGTTAGCTTGATTCTATGAACAGGGAGAAGATTTGTCTCTTGACAAGAGCAAACAACAACTTGTTGAATATCAAGAAGAGATCCAAGTAATGCAGAAATACATTATAATCTTCTTTAAATAAATAAAGGATGTAATATGTTGTTTACTAGATGGCATTACTTGATTTATGCAGGTTTCAGATGCTAGAATACAAGAGTGGTCAAATGGGAAGGAAGGAAATATTCGTTCACTGTTATCAACCCTACAATATGTATGCTTCTAGGCCAAAATCTGTTAACTATCTCTGTTGTCAAACTTCTGTGAATGTTCTTGTCTTTTCTTACATTTTATTTTGTGCACAAAGTCCCTTTACAGTGTTTATTTTGGTCCCAAGCATTACTGAAAGCTTCTAAGGAATTTTGACATCAGACTACTAACTTCTTTACTTCAGTGGGGACTGGGGTAGGGGTGCTCAGGGTTCGGTTAACTGAACTGGTACCACTGGTTTTTGGAAAATCAAGAACTGAAACCGAACTGAAGCCAATCAGTTAACCTGGTTGATTGGTTCGGTTCATTGGTTTTTTGTTTTTTTTGATATTTATAATATATATTATAAATAAATATATAAACATATAATAAAAATACTAGAAATGCATTATACACACACACACTGGTTGGTTTGGTTAGCCGAAACTTTCAGTTCAACTTCATCGGTTTGGTTTGGTTTTTTTTCCCTTTTTGGTTTTTTATGATCACCCCTAGATTGGGGAGCTCTTCTAAATTAGGCTCTTGGTGGGGTCTGTGGTGTACACTTGTCGCCCATTGGTGTTGCTTAAGATAATGTAATTGATAAATATTTCAAACTTTACGAAATTGCATATTAGAGTGTAAATAAAAGAATAAGCTTGGTATACTTCATTACATTGTAGTTCTACTTTTCTAGATGAGACGAGTAAATGTGGTTTGGTAATTGGTTGGTGGTTATTATGAAATTGTTGGCTTATGTCCACTTTTTTTTTTTTTTAAAAAAAAACAAATCATGTTGTTGAATTCTTGTGCATAAATGGTCAAATAAGAATTGAGTTTTTTTTTTTTCCTTAATTTCCTTTAGGAAATTTAGGGGATCCACCAGAAGTTCATGAAATACAAGCCTACAGTGTGAGGCTTCATGTATAGGGTCCACATATGTTAAGGGAGTTAAATTTGTCAATGAGCTGTTTTCCTACTGGGTGGTGAGTTGAACAGGCCTTCCTATCAGATTGGAATCCAGTTTGTTCCAGTCTGATAAATTTAAAAGAACTAAAATTAAAAAAAAAAAGTAAATAATTAAACATATAAAATGTATACATAACATTTTAATGATAAGAAAAAAGAAAATAACTTATGCTGAAATAAACCTAAATCTATAGATTATACTTTTTTAGCATACACAGATGCATATGCATATATGCGCACGTGTATATGGAAAAAGATTCTCTGATCAAGTCAAGTGAGAGCTCCATGATAAGGGATGGGGATAGGAACATAGTGACTCCCTTTGAGTTGTTGCCATGCACAAGTTTTTTTGGGCCATTTTAGACTTCATTAAATGATCCAACTAGCAAGCAAACCCACTTCAGAGATAACTGCTGTAATAATGAAGGTTCCACCTATCAGATTTCCTCAAGCCAAAAAGTGACCTAGTTGAATGATTGGAACCTTCCAATCTATTCCCTTCTCTTGGATGGTCAATAGTTAGAAGTGCAGTGACTACGAGTGTTAGAATTCAAGTGGTCAAAGTTGATCTAAAATTTCCATTTTCTAGTATTGGGACTAATTCATGGAACAAATAAAATGGCAGTTCTAAATCTCCTAGTTGTGTCATATGTGCCATTCATTGTTTATGTTTGCACTATATATATATTTTGATTGGAAACGGTAACTTCATTAAATAACTTTAAAATAACTTTCCAGATTTAAGTACAACTGTCAACCCCTAAGTAGGTGTTGAGCCCCAGTTATCTTTCTTACAAAACTGCCCAGAACATACTCTCCCTCACAGTCCCTTGTTTAGCCAAAGATGTACATTAGTCCTCTAATATCAAGATTAAACTTAGTGATTAGCAGAATAAAACAGGTATGAATAACTGTACAGGAGAAGAAGATGGTGAAGAGAAGAGGTAAGAGAAGAAGGAGTCGAAT